CTGGTCTGGGAGACGATGGCAGCTATAGAAGCACTAGGGGCAACCAACAAAGTAACTTTGGCATGGGTCCCGGGCCACAAAGGGATAACAGGAAACGAGATAGCGGACCAACTGGCAAGGCATGGGGCGTCAAATGATGACCAGGCCATGACAGTGGGAGTCCCTTTCGCGACCGGAATATCTCGAATTAAAAATAAACTTCGAACGAACACCAAGGGCGATGGGAGCAGATCACAACCTGCAGAAAATCCAAAGCTCTCATGCCAACCCTAAACAAGAAAAGGGCAGGAAAACTACTCAACATGAAAAAAGAGGAACTGAGCACTACAATCAGGCTCCTCACTGGACATGGTAGGTTTAGAACACACTGCAAAAACATGGGCATCGAAAGCGATGCCCGCTGCAGACTATGCCTTGATGCAGACGAGGACAGCCTGCATATACTTTGTAGCTGCCCTGCACTGGCTACAACAAGGCTAAATTACTGGGGAACCGCCTTCCCTAGCATCAGCTATGTAGCGGATCTAGACGCCGGGAGTCTACTAAAAGTGGTGAGAAACGCTGGCCTAGAATTATAGGGACAACGGAGCCACAATAGCCCAGTAGGGGTTCGGTGACAAGAGGGCAGCAAATGCCTATCCGCATTTTTAACCATAACCATAACATATGTGCCCATCAATATTAGCCAACAAAAATGATTTTTTTGGCAAAAATAGTTGTGCTGGATTTTTTATCAAAGACAGACCGAGTCACATTACTTAGGCCCACAGACTAGACACAGCGCAGGACTTATGTCTATTGACTTGGACTTATAATTGACTAGAGATTTATGTGCCCATCAATATTAGCCAATGACAATGATTTTTAAATAAAAAATCTCGGTGTTGTATTTTTTATCAAAGACAAAACAAGTCACGTGACTAAGGGTCACAGACTAGACACAGCGCAGGACTTATGTCTATTGACTTGGACTTATAATTGACTAGAGATTTATGTGCCCATCAATATTAGCCAACAAAAATTATTTTTAAATAAAAAATCATGGTGTTGTATTTTTTATTAAAGACAGAACAAGTCACGTGACTAAGGGTCACAGACTAGACACAGCGCAGGACTTATGTCTATTGATTTGGACTTATAAATGATCAGAGATTTATGTGCCCATCAATATTAGCCAATAACAATGATTTTTAACTAAAAAATCATGGTGTTGTATTTTTTATCAAAGACAGAACCAGTCACGTGACTAAGGGTCACCGACTAGACACAGCGCAGGACTTATGCCTATTGACTTGGACTTATAAATGATCAGAGATTTATGTGCCCATCAATGTTAGCCAACAAAAATGATTTTTAAATTAAAAATCATGGTGTTGTATTTTTTATCAAAGACAGAACAAGTCACGTGACTAAAGGTCACAGACTAGACACAGCGCAGGACTTATGTCTATTGACTT